TTCGTTTTTTTTTTTTTTTTTTTTTTTTGTGTGTGTGTGTGTGTGTGTGTGTGTCTAACAAGAAACCTCTTGATAATAATGGAAAGTGATGGGAGCTCCTTGAACTCTTGGAGAGTATCGGGGGGAATTTAATATGTCGAGTAAGATGAATGTGGAAAGGAGAGAAAAAATAAAAAGAAAGAATCAAAACAAACAAGAAACTTGTGATGTTAATGGAAGTTGATGGGAGCTCTTTGTAACATTGAGAATATCGGGCCATTTAATGCTGGAGTATGACAGATGCAGAAAAGAGAAAATCAAAACAAACGAGAAACTTGTTGATGACAATGGAAAGTTATGAGAGCTCTTTGAAATGTTGGGAAGTATCCAGGACAATTTAAAGCGTGGAGTAAGGCGAACGTGGAAAAGAGAGAATAAAAACAACCAAGAAACTTGTTCATGATATAATGGAGAGTGATGGGAGCTCTTTGAAGCCTTGAGAAGTATCGGGAAAATGTTATGTGTGGAGTAAGACGAATACAAGAGAGATCAAAACAAACAAGCTGATGATAATGGAAGGACGGGAGAGCCTTGGGAAGTATCTGGGGCAATTTAATGCATGGAATGAGACGAATGTGGAAAAGAGAGAATCAAAACAAAAGGAGAGATGTATTAACTTAAGCACAGAATTGTTCTTAAGATACTGAAAGAGTCTTAATTTTTTCTTGTTGTCTTATAAAAAAGAAATGTGCTAAACGTATAAACTGTCATAGAGGTTGAGATTGTTTCAGGCAGATCAGCTGTTAAACTATTACCAAAAAATTGGAATTGCCCTGTCTAAACATTAATGTCACATGGAAAGGATGGAGTGGAAAGACATGCAGCCAACTGGCTTGACTGCAGGGCAGAAATGCCTTAGAAGATGCTGGCTTTGGTGGCCAGTAATGGAGCTGGTTTCATGAAACAAAACGACAAATACCCTACGGTGGGTAACAAATTTGAGTTATTGCAATTTTAATGATCATTGCTTTTTACATAAATATATTTGGAGAAAAGTCCAAATATTCCTTTTAGGTGCTCGCCGCATTACTGTATGAAACTCTATGCTTGTCTTTTTCATATACGGCCAATTAAAAGTGAAGAATTCTTGGTTTTGAACATTTCATGTGGTATATGACCAATCATTTGCTTACCTCAAAAGCATGTGCTTGGTATATATCTGTGCTTCACGAACTTTCTCCATTAGTCAAAGTCAGAAGGATCTCTTTTTATACGCTGCAGAAGGTGAAGCTCCCGATAAGTATCCTTGGTTATGATAGTAATACTAGCCATTAAAGTATTTGGTCCTGATCATTGTTCTTCTTCTTCATAATCTAGACCTTTTCTTCCTGGTATACCCATCTAATTTCCTAGACACGAAAAATCGAAACCAGGCACACAGATTTTCAATGATGTGTATGTATATCACCTATGTTTGAGGATTTTGCAATCAATTTGGTATGTGTGTCTAACAAGAAACCTGTGGTTGATACTGGAAAATGAGGAGATCTTTGAAATCTTAGGAAGAATCTGGGGAAATTTAATGCATATATTAATAAGAATGCCGAAAAGAGAGATAGTTTTAACATTTAAAAATAAAAATTAAAGGAAAAATGTACTAATTTTAATAGGCAATTGTGTTGAGATACTGACATCATTTTTTTTTGGGATAAAGGTAACAAATGTTTAACAGAATTCTTATATGCTCTTTCCGTCTTATGAAAAAAGAAAGACAAACATGCGAGACAAATAATAACTTTTCTAGAAATCGGGAAATTGTTTCAGGTAGATCAGGTGTTTAACTGTTGCCAAGTGAGTGGAATTACCACGTAGAAACATTTATCACCACATGGGAAGGAGTGAAAGGAAAGACATCCTCCGGCAACGGTGCAGGAAATGCCTGAGAAAATGCTAGTTTTGGCGGCCAGTAGTGGAACGGGTACCGTGCCAAACAACGTTAAATAGTATACAGTGGGAAGAATTTTGTCTACTGCAATGCAAAAGACATTGTGTTATTGCTTTTAAGAAGGGGTTTGATATAACTCTATTTGGGAAAGATGATGGATGCTTGCAACCTCAAGTAGTTGAGTAGTGAGTTTGTAAATGTCGATGTTTGCTGGCTTTTATGACTTTCTCAGTTCATATTCAATAATCTAAATCACAATATGCCACCCTATGGACTCAATGAAACTATGGTTGTCCTTTTCACTTATGACTAATTAAAAGAGAAGAATATGGGTTTCACCATTCAGTATGAGTTGATTGTAGGGTATCAGGATCGAAGGTGCCACGGCCCATGAGAAAGTTTGGAGCTATAATTTTGTAATGATCCAATATTAATCACAAGATTAGTGTTGCCAGCGGGGTTCGATGAGAGGAAGCTTAGGCTAAGTAGTAACAGAATCAGTGAAGAGGAAAAACAGAATTTCAAATTAACGGCTAGGATTAGTTTCGAATAAATGAGCTACAAGGGCTAGGATTTTGCCATGTCAGCTGAGGTTGTTATAACTACCCTCAACAGAAATCGGAAGGCAACGATTCCCAGGTCATTCATCTCTCTTTCTCTTTTCCTCACTCAATCTCTGCCTCTACTCTTCTCTTCTCTCTCTGACTTCTTCTCCTTCCTTCTTCTGCACTCAATCCAGCTATGGAGTTCAACTATAGTAGATAGTTATTTTATTTTGGCTGTTGTAGTTCAAGTTCTTCTTCTCATTTATATATAAAACAGAAAATTGTCCCAAATTCTCCTTTAATTTCGCATTTTAGTTGTTTAATTTCTCTGGTTCTTAGCGAGGTCATTACAATTGATATCAGAGCCTCAATCCTGCGACTGTGTAGGTGGTGATGGTTGAAGGAACTAGGCTGAAAGTTATGGATGATAAGCTAGTGAGACACGATGAGGTTTTGAATGAATTACTCTCTACCAAGAGGAACCGCGCAACACTCATACTGGAATACAAGGTACTCTAGAGCTAATCCTAGATAGGTTGACACATCTGGAGAGAGCTCCTCAGCGAGCTCAAGGTGACAGACCTCAAGGAGATGGGCTCTTACCAATACCGGGTCAGGAATTGAGGCAGAACAGACCTCAAGCTGTGCAGGCCCCTTCCTCTAAATGGGAGCTGCCTAATTTTGAGGGCCATGAACCTAAGGTATGGATTCGAAAGTGTGAAAGATATTTTAATTTGTATAGAACCCCAGACAACCGGAAGGTCGAAGCTGCTGCACTCTATCTAAATGGACTAGCTGACACTTGGTACCACTCATTAGTACTGAGCAGAGGTGAAGTGAGTTGGGCTGAATTCAAAGAGGAGTTACTTATTCGATTTAGGGAGGAGCTAATGGGAGACATAGTGGAAGAATTTAACAAGCTAAGTCAAGTAGGTTCTGTTGATGATTTCCTAGGCAAGTTTGAGGACTTGAAGGCTCAAATGTTGGTAAGGAATCCTCACTTGGATGAGTCACACTTTATATCCAGTTTCATAGGTGCTTTAAAGGAAGAGATCAGGTTTGGTGTGAAATTGTTCAAACCTACAACTCTAAGGTTTGTTGTGGAACAAGCTAGGCTGCAAGAGAAGGCTATAGAAGCTGCTCAAAGGAAGAACAAGAGCATCACAAAGCCCTCCTTTGTAGCTGGCAGTTCTGTTAACCCAAAGGCACCTGTTGCAGCTGCGGTCAAACCAAACTCCTTTAGACTTAGTCCTGAAGTTTATGAATACAAGAAGAGGAATCATTTGTGTTTTAGGCGTGGTGAAAAGTATGCTCCAGGCTATCAATGTAAGAAGAAGCAGCTGAACTGTATGATAGGAGCAGCAGAGCCACTTCGTGAGTGTGCTGAGGTAGAAGAAGAACAACCATGTACAAACTTGATCATTGAAGGAGAATTGGAGCAAGAAGTCATGGAAGCTGTGTGCATGAATGCTCTATCAGGTGACAACAGAGAAGTCAATACCATATTGGTCAGAGGTACCATAAGGAACAGGAAACTAACAGTGCTAATTGATTTTGGCAGCACTCATAGTTTCATTGATGTTAATACAGTCAAGGAGACAGGCTATCAGGCTAGGCATTGCCCACCAGTGAAAGTGACAGTGGCTGATGGGAATTATGTCATGTGCACTTCCATTTGCACAGGATATCAGTGGAAGATGCAAGGTAGACCCTTCCAGGAAGACTTACTAATCATTCCACTTGGAGGTTGTGACATGGTGATGGGTAATGATTGGATGAAGAAGCATAATCCCACTAAGTTTGATCATGAAAAGATGTGTGTTACCATTGGCAAGAAGGGCAACAAACTAGTGTTGCAGGGTATCTCTGAGGAAGGTAAACTGAACATGATTTCAAGTGGAACAATGGGGAAGATGCTGAAGAAAGGCCAAGCTCTGATAGCTCATCTGTTCATGATGAGTTCCTTGGTGACAGAAGATCAGGAACCCGTAGAAGAAGCAATTCAAGAGGTGTTACACGTGTATCCTAATGTGTTTGCAGAACCTAAATCTCTGCCTCTTGTCAGGACCTTAGATCACTCCATTCCTTTGAAACCTGGAGCCATGTCAGTCAGTCTGAGGCCCTACAGGTACAACTATTATCATAAGGATGAGTTAGAAAGACAGGTTAAAGCGATGCTCACCAATGGCATAATTCAGCATAGTCAATCACCTTTTTCATCACCAGCCTTGCTTGTCAAAAAGAAGGATGGAACCTGGAGGTTTTGTGTAGATATAGGGGTCTGAATGACATCACAATGAAGGATAAGTATCCTATACCCATTGTGGATGACCTTCTAGATGAGCTGTGTGGGTCTATGATTTTTTCCAAGGTGGATTTGAGAGCTAGTTATCACCAGATCAGAATGAAATTAGAAGATGTATACAAGACAGCTTTCAGAACTCATTTTGGCCATTATGAATTCAAAGTGATGCCATTTGGATTAACAAATGCACCAGCTACCTTTCAAGCTCTGATGAACCAGGTTTTTCAGCCTTTCCTTAGAAAGTTTGTTTTGGTCTTCTTTGATGATATCCTTATCTACAGTCTATCTATCTGTGAAGGATCATGTGACTCACCTAATTGCTGTATTTGACACCTTGAGAAAACACTCCTTATCTGCCAAAAGGTCTAAATGCTCATTTGGTCAATGAGTATTTAGGTCATATCATAACTGCAGAGGGAGTATCTACTGATCCTTCTGAAATACAAGCTATGGTCGATTGGCCTAGACCAAACTCATTGAGGGCACTGAGGGGATTCTTAGGATTGACTGGATAATATAGAAAGTATGTTGCTAGACCTTTGACTGACTTACTCCAGTAGGATGCTTTTATATGGAATGGAGAAGCTGAATTAGCCTTTACAACCCTCAAGAGAGCTATGTCTTCTACACCAGTGTTGGCCTTACCTGACTACACTAAGGAGTTCATAGTGGAAACAGATGCTAGTCAAAGTGGCGTTGGTGTTGTGCTGATGCAAGAAGGAAGACCAGTAGCTTATTTTAGCAAGGTTTTGGCTCAGAAGCACAGAGGTAACTCAATCTATGAGAAGGAGTATATGGCTTTGCTGAATGCAGTGGACAAGTGGAGGCACTATCTACCGTACAGGCATTTTGTGGTCAGAACTGACCACCACAGTTTAAAATACCTTCTTGAACAAAGAGTTACTTCTGCTATACAACAGAAAGGACTGGCCAAATTACTTGAGTTGGCCTATGAAGTGCAGTACAAGGAAGGGGCTGAAAATAGGGTAGTTGATGCCCTTTCTAGGCAACAGGAAAGATCATAAGACAACACAAGCCAATTCCAAGGGAAACTACGGGCAATCAGTGTCTCAGTTCCTTCTTGGATGCAAGAGATAGCACACAGTTATGAAGGAGACACTCAAGCTGCAGAATTGATCAGTCAGGCATCAGTGAATCTACAAGGACATAGCATCTGGGATTACTCTTCC